TTGATTACATCTCAAAAGTTCCTAATTCCAAATAAGATTATATTCATAGGTTTCAGCTGGACATAAATTTTGATGAGGGGAAGCTACTCAATCCAGTACAATCAACTATTAATGTAGCTGACGCAGGATATTTTGCTCCTTAGTTCAGTTAAATTTGAGTTCTTGTCACCCAGTGAAGAAAAATTAGGCATGCGTACACACTGAAAGATGAGAAGGGCAGAATTTATTTGTTTTGTTTTTTTTTGTTTGTTTTTTGAGACGGAGTTTCGCTCTTGTTACCCAGGCTGGAGTGCAATGGCGCGATCTCGGCTCACCGCAACCTCCGCCTCCTGGGTTCAGGCAATTCTCCTGCCTCAGCCTCCTGAGTAGCTGGGATTACAGGCACGCACCACCATGCCCAGCTAATTTTTTGTATTTTTAGTAGAGATGGGATTTCACCATGTTGACCAGGATGGTCTCGATCTCTTGACCTCGTGATCCACCCGCCTCGGCCTCCCAAAGTGCTGGGATTACAGGCTTGAGCCACCATGCCCGGCAGAATTTATTAAGTGAAAGTTTCTACTTGGTAGTCAGGAACAATCACCCAGCCAGCATTGTAACTCCTTTGTCTATTGAGTTGGAGGCATGAGAAGCCCAAAGTGGCTGAGGAGCAGGCTTAAACTTTCAGTTCAATTAAATCATTAGTGAGTCATTTAGTGTAAGACATTCCACCCTGTGCAAGGTCTCCACAAAAAGCGGGGTCCTTCATGCAGGTTTTCCACCTCACAAATTGAATGCCAGGCCTCCCACAGGCGCTGAAGAGGCGTGGCTTCTTCCCTGCATAAGGCACAAATTCCTTGTGGCTCCATCCCATTCTTCCAGCGCATGTGCAGGTGCTTAGTCTAAGCCAGTCCACAGTGATTTATTTCCCTTATTGCACATGTGTTGAGAAACGGACTTTTCCGCAGTGGGCATGTTTAGGCCACCTGTGCACAACGACCTGGGCAAGGTGGAGCTTCTCTGGGGACTCTTCTCTATTTGCCCAGGAATGTGGCTGTCTCCCTTCTCTTTCATAGCTATCCTTTTTATAGACTGGTCTAATATATCTTTTAACAGTACTATAAGAAAGTGGCTTACATGATTATGGAGGCTAAGTGGTCCCATGATCTGTCATCTATTAGCTGGATACCCAGGAAGGCCTGTGGTATAATTCACTGTGAGTCCAAAGGCGTGAGGACGAGGGGAGCCAATGATGTAAATCTATGTGAGGGCAGGAGATGAGATGTCACAGCTCAAACAGTGAGGCAGGAAGAAAAAAAAGGGTGAATTCTTCCTTCCTCTGCTTTTTATTCTATTTAGACCCTCAACAAACTGGATGATGCCCACCCACCTTGGGGATGGCAATCTCCTTTACTGAGTCCCCAATTCAAATGCGAATCTTCTTTGTAAACACACTCAAGACACTCCAGAATAATGTTTAAACAGATATTTGGCACCCTGTGGCCTATTCAAGTTGACATATAAAATTAACCATCACGAGTCTGCCCTTGTCAATTTGGCACCTATACACATCTCCTTATACCATACTTAACTGCCACATAAAGATAATAACAAGGTCATAATTCCATCTAACGTGATTAACAATCCAGCATTCTACCCAAAACACACTAACCCATTTCCCAGAAGAGGAGATAAAGTCTTCTTGTGATGTTTACTCTCTCTTTGATATCCCATAACTTAAATACTATGATATAAAATTAATCAAGGTTAAGCGTTGGAGCCAATTTAAAAAATTAACAATATTTAAACATTATGATATAAAATCAATGCATCTTATGTTACAGAAAAGGAAATGAGAAGAAAGTAAACAAAACTACACACACAAAATGTCATAGCAAAATATGGACGACATACGTTTGACAATCACAATCTGTGTTTCTGTGACTGGTTGTATGATCAAAGCTTGTATTTCTTCCACCTCTTATTCTGTATTCTCTTTGCCTTCAGCAAGTACCTCATCTGGTCGTGGTACTTACCCGGTGGTGACCCAAACCTTGATTTCTGAAAGGCCTGGGTCATTAGCACTTCTGTCTGGATTAGGCTGTAGTTTTCCACTGACCTTAATCACGGGGCATGGTAACACTAAGAGATGCCCTAAGGAATCTTGTGTATTCCTGACATACCTTTCCTTGCCACCACTGGGGCAGCAGTCCAGTTTCTACCTGGTAATCAGGAACAATCACCCAGCCAGAACTATAACTCCTTTGTCTATTGAGTTAGAGACATTAAGAAGCCCAAAGTGACTGAGGAGCAGTCTTAAACTTCCAATTCAATTAAATCATTATTGTGTCTCTTGGTGGAAAACATTCCACCCTATGTAAGACCTCTAGGCTAGCAGAGCATAAGTCATAGGAACAGGAAGCAAAAATTTTGCTAGTGGGTCAGTAGGACTAATGGTGTTCCTTGAAAATAGAATGGTGTCCCTTGATTTTGATCCCTTCTTTCCTGGACCTGTGAATCGCGGTCATAAGAGAAAGGCATCATATACTGGATGCTGATTCAGAGCACAGACAGCCTTCTAGAGAACCTTGTTCCAGTCCTACAAGGCACTGCTATATATAGCTGGTGCCAGTACTGTCTTCAAAATGCTATTCCACTGCTCTATGTAGGCAGTTGATTCAGGATAGTAGGGAACATGGTAAGACCAGTTAATTCCATGAGCATGGGCCCATTGCCACACTTTTGCTGCAAAGTGAGTTCCTTGCAATGCTGTGTGGAATACCGTGGTCTTAGATGAGGCATTCTGTAAGTCCATGGATGGTAGTTTTAGAAGCATCACATGAAGGGAAAGCGAATCTGTATCCAGATAAGTTCTATTTCAGTAAGGACAAAACTATCCCTTCAACAATGGAAGTGGATCAATGTAATTAACCTGCCACCAGGCAGCTGACTGATGACTGGGGAATGGTGTCACATCAAGGGCTCAGTGTTGGTCTTTTGCTGGCACACTGGGCACTCAGAGGTAGTCTTGGCCAGGTCAGCCTTGTGAATAGAAGTCTGTTGCTGAGCCCATGCATAACCTCCATCCTCGTCACCATGGCTACTTTGTTCATGAGACAATTGGGTAATGACGGGTGGCTGGAGAAAGAGGCCTACTGGTATCCACAGAATAGGTCATCTTGTCTACTTCATTAAAATCCTTCTTTGCTAACCCTTTGGTGAGCATTCACATGGGGCACAAATACCTTCACCCTTTTTGTCCATTCAGTGTCTAATCCACATACCTCATCCCCAAATTTGTCACCAGTTTTTCAGTTATGTTCAACTCCCTGACCATCCAACAAAACTATTGGCCACAGCCCATGAATTGGCATATAATTGACTATCTGGCCATCTTTCCTTGCAAGCAAAGTCAACAACCAGGGGGACTGCTCAAAGTTCTGTCCACTGGGAGGATTTCCCTTCATCACTGTCCTTAAAGATGGCCCAGAGATGAGCTGTGGTGCTGCAGCTGTTCACTTTTGGGTGGTGCCTACATATCATATAGAACCCTCTGTAAACCAGGCTGAAGTCTTCTCTTTCTGTCAGCTGATCATAGGGAAGTCCCCATGAAGCCACAGATGTAGGCTGAAAGAAAACGTTCTGTAGGGAGCCTAAGTGGGGACTATGGAAATTTGGGCTACTTCTTCATGTAACTTACTTGGGCCTTGAGGGCCTGCTCAGACCCAATCATGTATATACCATTTCCATCTGATGATGGGAGTGTTGCTGTGCATATCCAACTTTGTGTGTTGGTGGGCCAGATAATATCTAGTTCATGATGGGCAGCTCAGGTTGCATGGCAACTTGGTGACTCATAAAGTATCAGTCTCTACTAAGGCCTAATAGTGGGCCAAGAGCTGTTTCTCAAAAATAGACTACTTATTTGTGGGTAATAGCAGGGTTTTGCTCTAAAATCCTAAACCATGATTCACCTATAGAAACCTACCAGAAGCTTCAAACAGCATCCCTATCTGCCACTGCCACTTAAACACCACTGGATCTGCTGGATCATATGGTCCAAGTGGCAGAGCAACTTGTACAGCAGCCTGGACCTGTTGCACAGAATCTTCTTGTTCTGGGCCCTACTTTAAACTAGCAGCATTTTGAGTCATTTGGTAAATGGGCTGGAGTAACCTAATGAAATTGGAAAATGATGCCTCTAAAGCCAAAACAGGCCCACTAAGTATTGTGCCGCCTTTTTAGCTGTAGGAGCAGCAAGATGCAACTACTTATCCTTCACCATAGAGGAAATATCTCAACATGCTCCAAGTCACTGGATCCCTACCAATTTCACTAAGCTAGAAGATCCTTGAATTTTAGTCATATTTATTTCCTACCCTCTGATGCCAATGTCTTTCTCCTATGTCTAGTGTAGTTTCTACTTCTTGCTCACTAGGTCCAGTCAGCATAATGTCATCAATATAACAAATCAGTGTAATATTTTGTGGAAGGGAAAGGCAGTCGAGATCCCCATGAACTAAATTATGATGCAGAGTTGGAGAACTGACATATGCTGGAGATACGACAATTAAGGTGTATTGCTGGCCCTGCCTTCTGAAAGCAAACTGCCTTTATTGACTCATGAAAAAAAAAAAAACATTTGCCAGGTCAATTCCATTGCCTAGTAAATAATGCTGAAATAAATATTTCATATGTGGCCGGGCACGGTGGCTCAAGCCTGTAATCCCAGCACTTTGGGAGGCCGAGGCGGGTGGATCACGAGGTCGAGAGTTCGAGCCATCCTGGTCGACATGGTGAAACCCCGTCTCTACTAAAAATACAAAAAATCAGCTGGGCATGGTGGCGTGTGCCTGTAATCCCAGCTGCTCAGGAGGCTGAGGCAGGAGAATTGCCTGAACCCAGGAGGCGGAGGTTGCGGTGAGCCGAGATCACGCCATTGCACTCCAGCCTGGGTAACAAGAGCGAAACTCCGTCTCAAAAAAAAAAAAAAAAAAAAAAAAAAAAAAAAAAAAAAAAAAATTTTATATGTAACTCTTGTATTTAAAATGCAAATTATAAATATACATATTTAATTGTACTTGTGCAAATAATTCTATAGAGAGTGAAAGGGAATGTTTCACCTTTGTACCTTGTTTTAATGAGAAATTTCTGGTAAAATTCCTTGTTAACTAATGGATGACGTCAGTTTCAAAATATGCTAAATGCCTTCAGTTTCCAGTGGCTCTGGGCACACATTGTATGCTAGGACCTGGTGAACTTGAGGACTGAAAGAGTTTCTTGGCCTGCTTGTCTAGAAAGTGCAGTGGTTCCTTGTAGACCTTTTGTCTTCATTATTTTCAAAATTTCTTCTAAAAAATCAAAAGGTAAAATCCATTAAGTCATTTGGCAGTGCGCATGATCATTAAGCAATTTAATGAGATGATAAACACAGATGATTTATAAGTTGTATTCATCTGACAAAACAATGTATATCAAATAAATGTCTATTAAATCTAACATGGTTTTCAGCTAGATGGGAGCACTTTGTATTTTCAAAGTGTTGCTGGTAATTGTAATCAGAATGAATGGCTTGCTTTGCAGTCATAGCCTACTTTAGGCCCAGCGGAAACATTAATTGTCTTTGTTGTTACAGCAAGTGATCAGTTTTTTTAGTTGCTTGGCTCCAGTCTCTGCCCCATATTTTTCTCTTTGGATGTCAAAAGCCAATGAGAGTGTGGAAAAACTGGATAGTGACATTGTACAATGAGAGCGAAAGTAGTAGCTTATTTCTTTCTTCCTTTTATAAATAAATAAAACTAAGAAGACTGAACTAAGAAAATGAAGAAAGAAAGAAAGAAGGAAAGAAAGAAAGAGGAAGGTAGGGAGGGAGGGAGAGAAGTAAGGAAGGAAAGAAAAAGAAAGAAATGCAAGCAAGAGAAAACTAGCAATCGTGATTTGAAAGGCTGAGGATTTCTAGTATAAGCTAAAAATCAAACTTGAGGTGTAAAGAAAAAGAAGAAAAATTACGGTAAATTTAGTTATAAAGCACTATGAAAACAAAGCTATAAAAATCTATACAATAAAATAGCTTTCATGATAAAACTCCAGACGAACTACAGAGTACAGCACATTGTCAAGGGCATTAAGACTAGAAGGTAGAGAGAAAATTCATACTACTGAGAGTGAGGTATTTGAAGAAAAAATTAGAGATTTTGGTACTTGAATATTTGGTTATACATGGGGAAAAGAGAAGACAAAACTTTTTAAAATCAGAAAAATTTACTTCTAAAAACCTCTTTTCTCTTTCAACATGAATTTATGTCTGTATTGGCTATTGTCAGTGATTAACTGTTTTAAGTGATTCATTAACATACCATGTTATCTTATAAATTATAGTGTTTTACATTAATAACTTTTGATTTCAGCAACATAAATAGTTAAACAATAAACTGGTCTGTATTACCTGGGTTGTTTTCTTTAATGGTAACTAAATAGAATAATCCTCTTGGTGAAAGGAGATCTGAAACCAGGGGAAAAAACCTGTCCATGACTTCCCGACCATTTCTGCCACCAGCCCAAGCTGCCTCTATTCCGTGACTTCCTACCTGTGAACAATTAGAAAGAATGTTTTCTTTTAACTCAAGTTTGATTTAGATCACAAACTGAATCTTTTTGACAAGTAATATCACCAAACAAGTATATATTTTGCATTTTACTGCTGACAAAGGAGCAGTAAAGTTGAATCTAAGTTTCATCATTTTCTAGTGTGTAACCATGGATAAATTAGTAATCTTGTTTGTGAATTACTTTCCTCCTTTATCTGTAAAATTAGAAAATAAAATAGCTCCATATGTACAATCAGAAAAATAATTAAAAATATTTTCATCCACTGTTAGGAATGAATGAAGAAGTATATTTAAAGTTTTGAGAACACTGCCCTGCATATATCAAAGGTGGTAAGGTGGATACCCTTTCCTCGGGTAAGAGAAACCCATGGTTTGCTGCTCTTGCCAATAACAAAAACACTGGAAAGTCGAGTCGCAAAGCTGTTGGCATTGACATGTTTCATGTAAACCATGTTAAAAGATCCAGGGTGACTCTCTCTGTTGGTGATCACACCAATTCTTCCTAGGTTAGCACTTCCGGTCACCAAACACAGGTTATCACGTCAAACTTGATGAAATGAGTAATCTTGCCAGTCTCTAAATCAATCTGAATGGTATCATTCACCTTGATGAGGTGATCAGGGTAGCAGATGGTGTGAGCATCATGAGTCACCAGATGAGGGATTCCCTTTGAGCCCACAGAGATTTTTCTCACTTTGCACAACTTGTACTTGGCCTTCTCAGGTGTAATATGATGTACAGCAAAGTGACCCTTGGTGTCACAGATCAGACGGAAATTCTTTCCCTTCTTGTCAATGCTGATGACATCAACAAAGATTCTGAAGATTAAAGATCATGGCCAGATCATCTTCAATGTTTCAAAACCCTGTTTTTATGACTATATAAAATTTAGAAGTGAATCAAGGCTGGGTGTGGTGGCTCACACCTGTAATCCCAGCACGTTGGAAGGTCAAAGCAGGTGGATAACTTGAGGTCAGGAGTTCAAGACCAGCCTGGCCAACGTGATGAAACCCCATCTCTACTGGTAATTCATTCTTTTAAGGGCTATATAATATTTTCTGGGAGAAAAGTATTGCATCTTAGTTGGCTGTTAATGGGCATTCACTATGTCTATTTGCTTAATTTTTTTGACTCTAATTATTGCCACATCTATCATAAGCTTCTCAATACAATTTTCCACAAAGTGAATCATATTAGGAAATGTATCACTTCTTCTGTTTTTCTTTACGACTTTCCACCTGGAAACTTCCTTTTCCTGGCATTCTCTCTGCTTTTCTCCTGGGCTAAACTCCCCATTTGTGCTGTTGGCACAAATCAATAGCATCTTATTTCATGTTTCTGGATATATTAATAAGTATAGCCACAGCTTGTTATAAACACAAACTCTTATTATTTGTATATTATGTTTCCTGGATCTAATCTCTGAGTCTCTTTTACCTTTCTTAATTCTTCTCCGTATTTTCATGCTCTGTGCACTGAAATCTTTCTTTCACTGGGTTTCAAGATCACTGATTCAGGTCTTCACAGTGATCATATTCTTTTTTAATTTACTGCCTAATGTTTTAATGTATAAAACATATTTTGAAGCTCCAAGACATCTTTGCTATGTTGTATTTTGATCCTGCTTTCTAGCTAATTGTCCAGCTCATGAGAATATGATAGTTTTTCATGCCATTGGGACAGCAAAAAAGCCCAAGGCACTGCCTACACTTGATCATCTATATGTCCCAGCAGCTGTAATCTCCTTTCATTGATTAGTCTTCCCACCAGTTTGATAATGCTTTTCTAAAGAGCTTTATTAAGCTGCATTCCCCTCAACTGCTGTTCACCTTATGACTTCCTTGTCATATGAGTTCATACGGCAGCAGAGCAATAGTTTTTTCATTGTTTAACTGCCATCAGTAGCAATAGCAGTCAAATGAATCTTTCCCATCTTGGTATTGAGGTGAATGTAATGTTTACCAGCCTTGCCAGAGAATAATTATCAAAGAATAAAAAAAGCATAATAATGAAAGGAAAGCGAGTCTTAGCCCATTATTAAACTTTGACCATTCCTGGGAAAAGGTTAATGTTGTTTATCTCTTCATCACTGAGATTTAAAAAATTAATATTTCAAGATTATTTCTTTTCCCTATCTGAAATGAGAATTGGTTCCACTCCTCCACTTTTTAGAAATACCTGTGAAAGGAGGAAACCTGAAACTTTCAGAAGGAATTCCCATGTGAATTTAAGGTTGGTTAAAACATTTTTTTTTTTTTGAGATGGAGTCTCCCTCTGTCAGCCAGGCTGGAAAGCAGTGGCCAATCTTGGCTCACTGCAACCTCCATCTCCCAGGCTCAAGGAATTCTCCTGCCTCAGCCTCCCAAGTAGCAGGGATTACAGGTGTGTGCCACCAAGCCTGGCTAATTTTTGTAATTTTAGTAGAGACGGGGTTTCACCATGTTGGCCAGGATGGTCTTGAACTCTTGACCTCAGGTAATCTGCCTGCCTCAGCCTCCCAAAGTGTTGGGATTACAGGTGTGAACCACCACACCCAGCCAGTAAAAACATTTTGTTTTGCAAATTTTTTTATTCATGATAAAGGATATAATATATATGTACATATATAGTCAAATATATGAATATAAACTCCATGGCCTGATTTGAATGTGATTTTTAATGATAGATATCTATCATAGTTTGCATTTCCATCAAAGGTTCCTTTCCTAGGTCTATTAATAGGACCCAATTGCTGACAATTAGGAGTAAAATCAGAGTAGTCTGTGAGAGCAGCAGCTGACTGATATCATAGAATGACATTCATTTGATTTTACAAACAAAATAATTGAAAATATTAATAATTAAATTTTGTTGTATGCTTTACCTCTTCAGGCGGAGTCACTACATAGGGGGGATTAAACACCAGAAGATCAACTTTTTCCTTCAATCTTGGTAGCAAGCCTTTGACCTAAATGTATTCAATAGTGAGAATTTTACATTAAACTCTGAATTAAATAATTGACAAATCAATCTTTAAAAATCATCTCCCATGTTTTTGGGAAAATAATGTGTTGGGGCTGCACTTGTAGAGAGAAATGAAGTTAAGTATTTTTACATTTTCACTCATAATATATGCAATTAAATAAAAATATGAAAATTATTTATCAGAATGAATATAAAAAAGCCTGTACTCAACAGCATATATATTTATACTCTGGGTTCACTTTTAGAAGATGAAATAAGGAAGCAAACTCTAATTCTGTATAATCCATATAGACCTGAATACAAGTTTACAAGTCTATTTGCTAACATTTTCACAATTTTCCCATGTCTCTATAGATACCTACTATAATTTACTGGATATTGTTCTATAATTTCTTCTATCCCTGGTGTTTCACCATTCTATCAAAAACACTTAATACTAATTACGGACACATTAAAGATATTTTTAGGCCAGGCATGGTGGCTCATGCCTGTAATCACAGCACTCTGGGAGGCTGAGGTGGGCAGCTCACCTGAGGTCAAGAGTTTGAGACCATCCTGGCCAACCATGGACAACATGATGAAACCCAGTCTCTACTAAAAATACAAAAACTAGCCAGGCGCAGTGGTGGGTGCCTGTAATCCTGGGAGGCTGAGGCAGGAGAACTGCTTAAACACAGGAGTCAGAGGTTGCAGTAAGCCGAGATTTTGCCACTACACTTCAGCCTGTGTGACAGAGTGAGACTCAAAAAAAAAAAAAGAAAGAAAGAAATTTTTAAAATAAAAAAAATCACCCCATTAGTCTCATGTAAATCACTGGAGTACCTGTCATGATTCTCTAGTTTTTATTAGCAGTAACAACTTCTAATAATATGAAAATAATTTCTTATCTCTTTGGTGTAATTCCTTCTAAGGTACAAAATCATTTGTAAATTAAAAACAAAAACAGAAAAGCTAGCTACCCTCATAAGAAAAGTGCAGGTTAAGGAACACAGAAGTATTTTGTATTTCATATGTCTACCTGATGCATGCTATTATTATTTTTGCCTATAAAAAGGTATTTCACACTATAAATTAAAAACCCACAAATTTAAAATTACCTTATCAATATAACGTAAAATATTTTAACAACTGCCACTTGAAAATGTGTGATGTTAACTTCTTAAAATAATGGTTGTGCAGTTGTAATTTGTTGTTTTTACCTACTGAGGACCCACTGCCCCTTTCTTCTGATTTAATTTCCTTGACTTTTGTTAGGGAAGCTCTATCTCCCATCATTCTTGATCTAAGTGGCCTGAGCAGGGTTTATCCCAACCCAGCTCCTGGGATGGGACTATGAGCCAGGTTGAAGCCAATCATCTCCATATTCAAATCTCCTTTGGCCATTGCAAAAGGTTAAGAGATAGGCACATAACCCAAGTTGATCCAAATAATACTCATCTGGGGCCTCTTCTAGAGTAACTGAATAGAAAGGGATTCTTTCCTTGGGAAGTTGCTGAGAAATAAGATACAGAGATGCAAACATCTTGTTACCATGAAGGGAAAGAATGCCTAGGAATAGAACCACCAGAGAGAATTTCAGAGATAAGAAAAAGATGCCTACAACAGTATTTAAGTTCCTGGAAGTAGCTGTGCTGAAGCCATCATTTTCTTTTCTTTTCTTTTTTTTTTTTTTGAGACAAGGCCTTGTTCTGTCCCCCAGGCTGTAGTGCAGAGGCATGATCATGGCTCATGGCAGCCTCGACTTCCCAGGCTCAGGCGATCCTCCCACCTCAGCCTCCCACGTAGCTGGCACCACAGGTGTGAGCAACCACACCCAGGTATTTTTTTTAATTTTTATTTTTTGTAGAAATGAGGCCTTACCATATTGTACATGCTGGTCTTGAACTCCTGGGCTCAAGCAATTGTCCTGCCTTGGCATCCTAGAGTGCTGGGATTAAAGGCATGAGCCGTTACACCTGGACTAACTTTTAAAATTTAAGTCAGTTTGAACCGGGTTCACTGTCACTTCTGATAAAGGAGGCCTGATCCATATAAGTTAATATAAATTCCTTTTGAATTGTGGAAAAGATGGATTACATCGATGAAGAATTTACATTGTATGGGGTATACTTTTTAGTGGGTCAAAAGTTAATTACTTACCAAAGTTTCTTTGTCCTAAAACATCGTTACCTTATTTGAAAATAAAATTATTATTGGACAAAGATTAATAGCTTACCAAATCTGTAATAACTGGTTGAATGTGGACTCTGTTACAGCGTGCTGTCTCTAGGGTACAAGCTGCTGCCTCAGGGTTGATATCAGTACACCTATAAACAGAAATGGAAGGAAACTATATCCTATGTCCACAAGGCAAATCTGTTACTGAATAATTTCAAGGAATGTTCCATTAATTCTACACAGAACAGATTTAGAAAAAAAAATAGAATGCTTTCAATAATGGCAAAGAAAAAGAGAACAAGGATTTGTTCAATTGATGAAAAAGACTGTTATACTGATCCAATGTCCAAGAGTAGAAGAATGCAGATACATGCACACACATCTGAAGGAATTTATGAAATTCTGATACATCCAATGAAGGAGTACTATGCAGTCACCAAAAATGAAATTGAAAAGGAATTTTTGAAAGGAAAATGTTTATGAGACAAAATTAAATTAAAAACATAGGAAATGGAAAAAAAAAAGAAGGAAACACAGTTGGACCATGTATGGTAAAATTTATAGGTCATTTTAATTTTCTTCTTTATACTTTTCTATATCCTCTAATTTTTCTATAAATAAATTTAAGCAACTTTAAATTTCTTATGATTATCAAATTATTTACCTAAGAAATCAAATTTAGAGATGATCTAAAATTATGCTGCTTCTATAATTATGCAGTACGATGGAGGAGTTTGAAACATGAAGTAATAATCTTTAGAGAAGCATAATTTGTAATCTGGGTTCTTACTACACTTAAATACTATAAGATACATAGTGTTTACTTAAAAATTATTTCATTCGAGTTATCATAGTTAACCTGTCAGTGGAAGATCTAGATGAATATGATGTACTTACATGTACAAAGCCTGAGGACCTATCATAGAGGCTAGGAATGCAGATACTACACCAGACCCTGCCCCTACTTCCAGGCATATTTCCACTCTAAAAAAATAAATAAATAAATATTAGTACAGTAGAATCAAAATACTCTTAACAGAAAACTCTCATGCTAATTTTATTTCTAGCATGTATATTTCTCTAGCATCATCACTCACTTGCAAATATACAAAAGCAGAAAGGAAATTTATAAACTCTGACAACTACTTTATACTTAATATTGCATAACTCAAAATTACTAATATTTTGAGTATGTAATATATATTAAGTTCATAAAAGTTATATATTACCAAACACAGCTTTCAACAAATCATTACATTAAAAAGTACTGAAAAATGTTAATCTAGGCTTGGAAATATTAATATGAAAGACAAAATTCCTTCACACAAGAAGCTCTTAGCTTAGTATTTCCTAAAATGATAGGGTATTATTACACAATGTATTTTTGAAAAAAGTGCCTCTATCTTTTAATACCTAACATAGAGCCATTAGTATATCCTAGAGAATTAAAATGTACCCCAATAACAGACTTAGAGCAGGACAAAAATTCCTTTTCTGTACAGCTATATGCTAATTGGGAAAATAGTATCTGCTGATCTTCAAATGTTAACCATCTTAGAATGCTGTTAACTATAAAATCCTCATTCTATTGTACTTTATCTTTCCATTAAATTTATTTTCTTGACTATCATCTTGGAAGTTGTTTCTTTTTTAGAGACAGGCTCTTGCTCTGTTACCTAGGCTAGAGTGCAGTGGTGCCACCATAGCTAACCGCAGCCTTTAACTCCTGGGCTCAAGTGATCCTCCCACCTCAACTTCCCAAGTAGTTAGGACAACCACAGTGCCAGGCCTCTATAATGTTACACATGCATCAAAAGCATAAATTATCCCCATTACAAGATCAGCTTGATGGCATTTAGGGAAATTTTTATCGCTAAACTTCCCAAACAACTACCCAGCAACAAGCTCCAGAGGTTTTAAACTTTTGGAACCAGTCTACACATCTGACAAGTCTTTAATAGGTGGTAGTAAGGTCTGTGAATCTCACCAGGTGGCTTCTCTTTGAAAATAACTATCGTGGTCTCATAAATAATTAGAATTCCAGGACTAGAAATAACCCAAGACTTTATAACAAAATCGGCTCCTTTTACAGCATATTTTGCAGTGCAATTTGTGCTTGTAAATCTTTCTGGGCTATCTTGAGGAAAAAAGACAAGTTATAAAACAGTACTGTTCCACTCTGTATTCCAGTAAATCCAAAAGTTCCATCATCTACAGTGAAAGACTAGTTTAATAAGAGCTGGGGCATTTTATACGTGGAAAAATATGACCAAATTTAAGACGGATAAATAAATATAATATAGATCTTTGAAACCTGACAGCTGTTTGTTCCATCCTGAGAAAATCCAGTTCAAATCTTATCTTCAAACAAATCTTAACTCAAATTCCTTGGATTTAAAAATCACAACGTCAGTATTCATTCTTTCTGCTATTAATTTAAAATCGATGGCGATCACTTCAACAAATCCATTTAAATAGTTGTAAAGTGCTAGGGTAGACTATTACCTGCTAGCAGCATGTAACTTTTTAAATTTTTTTGGTAACAATTAAATGAAAAATTCCTCAGTATCACTAGCCACACCTCAAGTGCTCTGTAGCCACATGTGAGGACTGGCTGGTGATAGAATATGCTATTCAATGGGTTTAAAAATATTTCCCCACTCCAGTAACATAACTTTCTTTCATGTTTGGGTCCTACCATTGCTAGAGGGTGCTTTCTATGTGCTGAGTAACTCAAATAATACCACGCAATTTCAATATTTAATGCTTTAAAAATCAATATAAATAAGCAATGTTTTCAGAACATTTTGTTTCCAAACGTGTTATACTACCGCTTCTCTCAGGGACTTGTGCTCTTCAGATTAACAGGTGACAGGAGAAGGTACGTCTTTGCGTGGTAAGCAGTCAGGGAGCTCGAGACCAGAGCGGCTCCCTGGCAAAGGAGATGTGTCCTCGGCACACTCATTACTTGTATCTACAGGAAAATACTCAATTACAGCGTCCTGCTGTCAATCATCTGCAAGTGGACCCCGCCTCCTCCGGCTCAGGGCGGCGACAGTCACCGTCCCGGCCCTCCGCCACCGCCACTTCTTCAGAACGCCCCAGACCTCTCCCGTCAGAGCCCCATCCCTCCTCGCACCCCGCCAGCTCGGCAGCCGCTGCCTCGAGCACGTCCAAAAGCAGGAACGTGTCCTCCGCGGGCTCGTACACGTCGCTGAAGGCGCCGCGGCCCACGTGTCCGTGCAACGGCGTGGGGAAGCTCAGGGCTGCCATCTTCCTGCAGTGCGTCCCACGAGCTCGCGCATGCGCACGCCTTCGGGCACAGGCCTAGGAAGGGGGGTGGGGTTCCGGGCGACCAGTGTGTTCTTGAGTCTTCATTCTAAATTTGTCTGTGGACCTCCTTGAAATTTCTAAGTAGACAGTTGTATAATCTGTGACCATTGACATTTGCTTTCTTTTTCTGAACACTTAAATTTTATTCTGTGAACTAGAACCTGATAGTGTGCATTCTGAGTTGTTTTTGACTAAGGTGAATGTTCTTTCTTCATTCTAATGATGTTTGGAAATACTGTTTTATTCCTAGTTTACAAGGCTTTGAAAAAATATATAACAAATTTTACTTTGTCAGCTGAACTTTAAGCTTTACACTATACAGATGAAGACTTTTCTCATTTGATTGTTTACTGTGCTTTGTAAATTGACTTTCTGATGAATCATGAATGCACTCTTTATAAACCTCACTCAAGCAAGATGATGTGGTTTAATACACTGCTGAATTTCGGAGGTTAATAATCTGGCTCTGATTTTTTTTTTATCACGGTTATGCTATCCTCGTTTTATTAGTTAGGACACTGTTTCTGGAACATTAGGTAGAAAACCGTAAAACTGGCTGGGCTTGGTACCTTGAATGGATGGATCTTTGATGTTTTGGAACATCTTCTGCAAGTTATTAGACTATTCAGGTATTTGCATTCTTTTTGAGTCGATTTCTGGTTTGTTTCACAATGAAACATTTTTACAGCTAGTTTTTTACATTTGAGAAATAAAAATACAGAAAAGTATTTGGGTCACAAATTTAATTTAATTTAATTTAATTTAATTTATTTATTTATTTGGAGACAGACTCTCATTCTATCCCCACAGGTTGGAGTTCAGTGGCGATCTCGGCTCACTGCAGCCTCTGCTTCCCAGGTTCAAGCAATTCTCCTGCCTCAGTCTCCCGAGTAGCAACTGCCTCCACACCGGGCTCATTTTTGTATTTTTAATAGAGACGGTGTTTCCCTATGTTGGCCAGACCGCTCTCAAACTCCTGACCTCAGGTGATCCGCCTGCCCCGGTCTCCCAAAGTGCTGGGATTACAGGCGTGAGCCTGTAATGTGCCCAGGCCAGGTTACAAATTTTAAAACCCTGAGTTTTAAACCCAGAAATGACAGTATTTTATCATGTTTTCTCAAAATATGTTTTAAATACAAGAACTAAAATATTACAAATGAAATCATTGTTCTTTCTCTACTTGTTTATTTTAAATTGGTCTCATTGCTAATGTTAGGAATGTGTTCATTTGTTTCTTTCTTTGTAAATTATTCATTTTTCTTATTTTACCTTAAGTTTTGCCTTTATTTTGTGAAAGCTGATAAATATTTTAATAGGGCAAATAGTTCTACATAATTTATTGTGAAAAAGCAGCCTTTTCTAGCACCCAACATCCAATTTCTCATGTCTCATTCTTCGGAGGACCACCTTCAACTTTTATCTGTTTCTTTCGTCATTCATTTCCATATCTCTGTATACTAAGCTTATAATAGTACTTCATTTTTAAACATTAAGGATTATCTATAGAGTTCCTATGAGTGAAAGTAAGAATAATTCTCCTGTCTCTAATAAACAAGTACAGTTGCCAGTCCCCTGCTCACTTTCTTCACAACCATGGTACCATGGTTTTAAAAAAAATTTCTTGGCTGGGCACGGTGGCTCCAGCACTTTGGGAGGCCAAGAAGAGTGGATCACTTGAGGTCAAGAGTTCAAGACCTGTTTGGTCAACATGGTGAAACCCCATCTCCACTAAAAATACAAAAATTAGCCTGGTGTAGTGGCAGGTGCCTATAATCCCAGCTACTCAGGAAGCTGAGGCACAAGAATTGCTTGAACCTGGGAGGTGGAGGTTACAGTTAGCCGAGATCACACCACTGTACTCCAACCTGGATAACAGATGGAGACTCTAACTAAAAAAGAAAAAATTGTATTGTGATTTTAAAAGCATTATTTTGCTTATATAAATGCTACTGAAATCTGACCCATGTGTTACACCAGTTAAGTTTGCTTTCTTGCACAACTTTTTGCTCTTCCTGGAAGTTAATTATCTACTGTATTAGTTACTTGGGCTGCCATAACAAATTACCACAAACTGGGTAAACAAATAAGAAAATTTATTCTTACTGGTCCTGTAGATTAGAAGTCTGAAATGAAGGTGTTGGCAGGACCGTGCCCCTTGATGAAGGGAAGAATCCTTCTTTTGGTCTTTCAGCTTCTGGTGGTTTCTAGCAATCCCTGGCCACCTTTGCCTTGTGGCAGCAGACCTCCCAGCGCTCCTTCATCTTTCTTTGGCTTTCTCTCCTGTGTCTTTGTGTCTCCAGGGCTTTCTCTCCTTGTAAGGACACCAGTCATTGCATTTAGGAGTCACCACACACACATTTTTCTCAGTGTTGCCAGTGGTCAGTGTCACATCTTCTCCTAATAAAAATACAAATTCTGGCATGCTTTTATTCAGGAGCTACCCTAAACACAGTGACTGGTGTCCTTACAAGGAGAGAAAATGGTAGTAGAGACGGTGGCACAAAAGGGTGGTAGTAGTGGTAGAGAAGGTGGTTAGGACTTCAGAATATCTCTTTAGGAAATACAACTCAACTCACAACATCTAGTAATAGCTACTTTTTCATTTGCTCGGTTTTGTAATATACCACCAATCAGCCTCAAAGTCTTTTCCAATTGTTACCACCCCCTCTCCACCAATACATTTAAAGACATTGAGCATTTTGATGATTTCTATCTAATTAGGCACCAAAACATGTTTCTGGTATTTATTTCTTGGTTTTGCTTATTCTTTTCCACTTTATCTTCAGGGTGGCTCTTTGTGATAACAAGATGGCTGCAACTTCACATCCTCACACCACCAAATTCAAGAGTCTTTTAGTTGTTTGCAACAAGTCCTGCCATTTTCTCTTTCTTATTGGCCCCAAATGAGTCGTGTGCTCATGTGTGAATCAACCCTGTGGCTAAGGAGATGAAATGATATGCCCCACTCAGGGCTGGGGCTCACTTTAACTGCATAGCCAGAATGGTATTTCCAAAGAAAAACTGTGTTGCTGGTATGGATGTCAGGCAATAAACACACAATTTCTGCTACATGGAAATTTCTCATGTAAGTATTGGTAATTTTTTTTCCAGTTTATTATTATCTTTTGGTTGTATTTACAGTATTTCCACCAGATATTAACAGTTTTTTTTTCAGATACTAACCCTTTTTTGATGGAAATACTTATTCAATCTACTTTTTTTTGTTTGTTTCTCATTCTTGTATTGTGGTTAGAAATATCTTTCTCACTCTCTGTCACTGAAAAGAAAGTTTATTTTCTCATTTCAAACTATAGACTTTAGTAATTAGGTTTACCTTATTAATTCGATTTTTAGGTCTTCTAGAGTCCTGTTTATTTTATATCTACTTGATCTTTATGGTCTGAATAAGATCTATTAACTTTTTATAGTAATTATAATAAATGTCTTTTCTTATTAGAGTGTTTACTTATATTTCTTGATAGCTTTTGGTTATTTGAATTTCAATTTTATGCCAGTTGGAGTGTTGATATTCATGATTGATACATGCTGACTGAAGATTATGCCTACTATAAAATATTTGTCTTTGTCTTTTTATTGTGTATTCAGCCTTGCCTGAAATTAAGGACACAATCTGGCATTCTTTTTGTTCCCATTTTCCTAATCTACCTTTGTCTTTCTTTCACTGTTAGTCACACTTAAACTTTGAAACGCACACACACACACACACACACACACACACACACACACATTTTTCTCAGTGTTGCCATTGGTCAGCATCACATCTTCTCCTAATAATGATACAAATTCTGGCATGCTTTGCTTTTTTTTTCCAGTGTCCCCTAACCGCCCCCCCGTGTTTAGATCATCTGAAAATTTTGGAGATACTTATTAATTTTTAAAAACAACTAACAGTGATTTAATTTAACTACATATGTTATTTTATTCTTTAATATTTTTAGAGATGGGTTCTTGTTAAGTTGCCTAGGCTGGTCTCGAACTCTTTGCCTCAACGGATCCTCCCACTGCAGGTTCCCAAGTCTCCTGAATTATGGGCATGAGCCTGGCTTAAAAAAAAAAAAAAAAAAAAACTACATATATTTTAGTAGTTCTCTGATGCACACTTTTATAATATACCATATTTTTTTCTTATGACTTACCTTTAGTTGGCATACATCCTCTGCTAATTGTTTCCAGGAGTAACATCCCAAATGTCTTTATTTCAGTCCTCAACCTAAAAAACAGTTTTTGTATATTAAGGATTCTAGGTAGAAAATAATTTTCCCTCATAACTTTGAAGATAACTCTCCAGTGTCTTCCTGACATTCAATGTTGCTGATGATCAGATGGGATAGTTCCCTTGACTCCCTTTGTGGGTAGGAACTGGCGTGGCTTGTTTCACTCAGCTTGCTGCTGGCCACTTCTTGCCAGAGGGAGCACAATGAGTGTGGGAACCGGAGGGAATGAACACTGGAACTGGCTGGTCACTCCCCTGTGGCGAGAGTAGGTTCTGTGCAAGCCCCAGAGCAGCATCCAAGCCCCTTCCCTCTCTGAACCCGGGTTCTTGTCTGGTGTCCAGGAAGAATCAGGTCACACGAACACATTGAAGGGTAGTGTTTGCGGAGTAATTTATTAGACAATGAAAATGGCTCTCAGATGGGAAGCAGGATGGGGAGTTGGAAAAGGAATGGTCCAGGAAGAAGATGATCTTTCCCTGAGCTGCACAGTCTGAAGTTAGCCGCCTCTGTAGTCCCTGACACTCAGCTGCTTCTCTGCTCACCACTCAACCACTTGTATCCCCGCTGCTCAGGGGCTTGTGTTGTTCTGCCAGCTGAAGTCTTTCTATGGGCACAGGATAGGGGTGTGGCGGGCCAAAAAGGCAACTTTTGGGTGGAAAAACGAGGTCAGCTGCTTTCACTTAGGGCCAAGTTCCTAGCTTAAGGGTGAGGTTTAGCCGGGAGCCCA